TTTTTTTTTTTTTTTTTTTTTTTTTTTTTTTTTTTTTTTTTTGAGAAATTTTCGACCGCTACGTTCCCGTGCACCGTGAATCGAACGATTCGGGCGGAGATGGAAAGTGACCTCCTTAATGCCGCTACCTCCATCCACGGGCCAATATTTATCCGGGCCGGGGAGAGTCATCGATTTCACTTTTGGCAATGGCCTCTACCCAAGCTCTGACCGTTCCCGGTAATTCTTCTCGTTGTTTGCATACCTCACGTGCTCCGTGAACGTTATTTCGATATTCTCGATCATTGAATCTCGCGCATCGATCATCGTCCCCTTACAAAAAGAAACAATCTTGTTTTCTTTCCCGAGCCGTGTTTAAGCGATGTTAATAAAAATGGATATTATTTTGATTAGATTAAAATTTATTAACCTATACGTAAATAATTCAACTTTATTTTTATTGTAAGAAAATAATAATTGAAATATCGAAATTCGTTTGAACAAATTTTGCTATAATTTATAGCAGCGAAAATTTAATGGTTGATGTTTACGAGTAAAATTACTTTAATAATTTATCGCTCAAAATAATAATAATTGGAAATAATTTTAATGCCAAACGGCATTATATGAATTATAGCCACGAATAAATGTTACTTGAGCATTTTAATTACTCCCCGTTGAAAAAGTTGAGTTAAAAATCTCGAATAACTCTGATTTACGGTAATATATTCACGAGAAGCTTCTTCGATAATTGAAGAAATACGTCATAAATACAACATTTATCGTAGCTAAAAAAAAGGAAGAATCAGGATGTTTTTCAAAAACGTTTACATTTCGAAATTTTATTATATCCTTTAACATATTCTCACAACTAGATCAGTGAATATCACCAGTTATCGATTAACGAGGAGAAGAAAAAGAGAGAAAAAAAAATATCGTGAGAAAATCATGAAAATCGGCATCATTGTCGAAACGGATAGGACTCTAATAAGGAAACGCTTTCACGATGTAAAAAAGATAATGCTTCGTTTGGACGAGTACGAAAAGGCATGCGAGACGACCACCACCATTCGCTCCTTCTATCTATCCGCTTTCGTAATGTGGGAAACCTTGAGACTTGCGCAAGCGGACTCGTAAGAAAGTGAAATTGCAACGTGGAGTTCATTCATATTTCGAGATTGTTCCGATCGAAAATTTCCCTCCAATTCGATCATTTCCCTTTTATTTTTAACTTAATTCCTTCTTCTTTTTTCGAAGAAAAGAAAATTCTCTCTCTCTCTCTCTAAAATTCCACCAGATATTTTACTATACAGTATACGGAAAAGCTGACTCGTTCTTTACATCATTGCGTGCCAGTTTCTCACATTAGACGATCGATCGAGTTTAAAGCTAAACTTCCCTCCTAACCTCCTCCTATGAGAACGCAAATGCTATAGTTTTGCAATCGCGTTAATCATTTCCTTCAACTTCTACGAAGAAGAAGAAAATTTTCTTTTCCCCTATTATCGATTATCGATAAAACTCGCTCGAAAGGAAAAAAAATCGAATGAAACAAGGACGAGAGGATGCTATCGAAAAGAAAGAAAGATCGCGTGCAGCTGGTGATTCGAAAGTGAAAGTGAAGAATACCTTCGGGATATACAGTTCTCATCACCGCCACCGGCAAAAAGGATCAACTTTTGTCGACCCGCCGCTCGATTTCTAACGAGCCGCCTCGAATAAATCACTGGAAATCGGTTGTTCGCTACGATTGCACCGGTTGCGACGTTGATCTATACGCGAGCTCTATGTGTGTGTGTGTGTGTGTGTGTGGAGAGCGTCGAGGGGGGGAGAGAAAAAACGCGTTTCACACGTATAAATGGTGGTCGGCTCGTTAGATAATCTTGGCCCGAGATGGAGATCCCGATAGAGAAATATGGAGCCTCTCTCGCAAAGTGTACATCTCTTGCGCGCTTTCGTGAGTTATCGCGCGGATGCATCGCGTGAAATCGAGCCGACTCGGTGTTGCGTCAAACTTGGAAAGAAACACACGTAAGAAAAAACGTCGTTAATCGTGTCTCTTTCCACGTTTCTTCATTTAGAGATCTATTTCTTTTTCGCATCGAGAAATGCTTATCTTATCTTATCTTATCTTATCTTATCTTATCTCTGGTTGAAAAGAAACACACGTAAGAAAAAACGTGCGTTTAGTCGCGCGTGTCTCTTTTCACGTTCTTTATTTAGGAATTATTTTTTTTTTTTTATTTTTCGAAAATCGAGAAATGCACACAAAAGCATTTTACTTCTGATTGGAAAGGATTCGAAAGGGAATACTGTTGTGGATCACGGAGGCGGCGAAAAATTGGGGAGGACGAAAATGAAAATGAGAAATGCAAAAAGAACGATGATGATACTCACTTCGGAGGGGTTGGTGAGCGCCGTCTTGAGGATCGTCCCGTTGACCAGGTGGCCGGAATGCGCGGGGTGGCTCGAGTGACTGGTGGTGGATTGGGAGTTGAGGGGGTCGGCGGACGAGATCTTGTGATGATGAAGGAAACCGCCAGCCAGCTGGACGTGCTGCTGTTGGCTATGGTGAGCGACCGCGGCCACGGCCATGTGCTTGTCGAGCATCGTCGAGCCCATGGCGCTTTTGCTACCGCCAAGGGACCCCGACCCGTTAACACCGCCAACGTTACCCCCGCTACTTATGCCACCCATGCCTCCGCCCACTCCGCTCGTTTTGTTACTTTTCTTGTGCTTTTTGTACTTCACCTTACGCATGAAACGAACGGAAATGGGGTAAGATTAATCTAAGGATTTAAGTACGCTCGGATACGCTGTTTTTCAATATTCTCTATTATTTATATATATATATTTAAATAAAATTCTTAAAAAGAATTAGGATCGATTCGACGTATCTTTTCTTAATTTAACCACGTTTAATTTTCTATTGTTATTTATATATATATATTTATATGTAAATAAAATTGATAATGAATTAAAATCGATTCAATGTTTTGTATCTTTTCTTAATTTAATCATATTTAATTACGCTCGAATTTTCTATTGTTATTTATATATATATATATATGTAAATAAAATTGATAAAGAATTAAGATCGATTCAATGTTTTGTATCTTTTCTTAATTTAACCATATTTAATTACGCTCGAATTTTCTATTGTTATTTATATATATATATATATGTAAATAAAATTGATAAAGAATTAAGATCGATTCAATGTTTTGTATCTTTTCTTAATTTAACCATATTTAATTACGCTCGAATTTTCTATTGTTATTTATATATATATATATATGTAAATAAAATTGATAAAGAATTAAGATCGATTTAACATTTTGAGGTCGTTTCTATTTTTAATTTAACATTTAATTATGCTCGAACACGTTATTTTTCAACTATTATTATTTACGAAAAGTTTATATATATATATATATAAATAAAATTGATAAAGAAGTAGAATCAATCCGATATTTTGAGCTCGTATCTTTTCTTAATTTAATATTTAATTACGCTCGAACACGTTATTTTTCAACTATTATTATATTTACGAAAAGTTTATATATATATAAATAAAATTGATAATGAATTAAGATCGATCCAATGTTTTGTATCTTTTCTTAATTTAACCATATTTAATTACTCGAATAAGTTATTTTTCAATATTGTCTCTATTGTTATTTATATA